AAGGTCGGTAAGCTGCTGGACGACAACCCATTAACCTTTTGGAGTTTGCACGATTTATTTTTTTGCAAGTTATGCACCCTTGCACCTCTTGTTTAGCTAATTCATATATGCCTTTGCAGCCGAAGAATCTCAGGAATTGCTCTGCCAAAGCCCGGGCCCCCCAGTGTGTTTGTTGGTGTAATCTTTTTAAAATCTTCCTGGTGTATTCCTTTGACAACAATTCTCTCCCATCTGGTAACTTCCACTTACCTCCTTCTAACTGTCCCCCGATCTTCCGATAAGCCTCGATCTCCGTTTCAGAGGGGTGGGGGGGGGAATTCCTGAGCATCCCCTTTTTCAATCTCCGGGGCACTTACCTTTAGCAAAGCAGCGCTTTTTGCCTTTTTGTCTGCTAAATTGTTCTCCCGAGCCCTGAATTGCATCCCGGTTTGGTGTCTTTTTACATGGACTATAGCAATAGCTTCTGGCCCTCTAATGGCTTTTAGGATTTGTTTAATTAATTCTTCATGAATCAATCCCTTCCCTCGTGTGTTTAGCAGGCCTCCTTCTTCCCAGATTTTCCCAAAGGTGTGCACCACCCCAAACGCATATTTGGAATCTGTGAAAATTGTCCCCTTTTTCTCTTCAAGACCCAGCAAAGCCCTGTATACTGCATACAGTTCACATGCCTGAGCTGACTACCCTGCACTCAGGGACCCAGATTCTATCACTGTTCCCGTCCTTCCATCTATGACTGCATACCCCGATTTTCTTTTCCCATTTATCACCCTGGCAGACCCATCTACAAACCATTTTTCTCCTTCCTCGAGTTTTTTTTTCTTCTAAATCAGGTCGTATTTTGGTCTGTAATTCTACCATTTTAACACAGTCGTGGGGAGGATGCCCTTGGACTGCCAATATAGGTGTATTATGTCTTGACATGCAGGGCTCCAAAGTGCCTCTTTTTATTAAATCTTAAATTATTGGTTTCAATCCCTTTCTTCCCTCTAGGGAGATGGGATACTGTTTTTACCCTTATGGGGTCTTCTGGTCTCTTAGTTTTAATGTGAATTGGTTCTGTCTAATTTTCTAGCTTCTCCTGGAATGTGCCAAACCCTGGGATTAATTTTCTTTTCATCTTCAGTAGTTAGGTTGTATAAACTTACCATGAGTTGTGAGTCTTTTGCAATTATACTTATTCTTAACATCACTATTAAATCCCTTCCCAATAAATTGTATTCTGTTTCTTCTACTAATAAAACATCCCCAGCACAGATTTTATTATCTGATTCTATTTCTACATTTCTTAGGATGGGGACTTGAAAGGGCTCCCTTTTAGCCCCAATCACAGTCATGAAATCCTTACCTTTGATACATCCAGGAGGCAGTCTTTGAACTGTGGTTTTTTCTGCTCCAGAATCAACTAAAAAGACTAGTTCCTGTTTTTGGGGTCCAACCTTCAATTTTATCAAGGGCTCTCTTGATGTCTGTGACCCCAGATTATTAAGCCCCTGACACCTCTATTTTCTTGAAAGACTTTTTCATCCTTTATTCATTTCTTATAGTCCCTCTTGAGGTGTCCTTTCTTTTTACAGTAAAAACATTCAGGGGCACTTACCTGTTTGTTTTTCTTTTGGGTGTGTGCCGGCTTTCCCGGGCTGTGTGTGGGGGGGGGGGGGGGGGGGGGGGGGGAAGTTGGGACGGTCCCGGAGCGCCTGCATCGGAGACTTGTGTATTAGGTGGTGGTGCAGACTGATCTGGGGCGGGAGCGGGGGAGTGGAGGCTGCCGAGACTTGTGCTTGTGATGGAGGAACTTGGTATGGGGGTAGCAGCTGCCCCGTACTTACCTTGTAGCCAGTTGTCTTAATAGGGAACAGCCGCGCGCTGGCATGTTCCTATAGCCTGGCATAATCTAGCTCTTTATTGTCCCACTCTCATTTTAGGCGTAAAATACACAGCACAACTTTATATTGACCAGAAACAAGACAAATTCGCTACCGATTCCCAAAAACCCGTGGTCGAGAAGCCAAAAGCACTTAGATTCCAGCCCTGCAGAGTAGTAGCAGCAGCTTGTGCCGTTTTTAAAACTGCCGCCTGCAGGACCGGGTTTCCCCACGCCACGTGGCCGAGCGGCGACCAGTGCTGCCCGTGCATGGCAGGAAAACCCGAGCCGTGCTCCCCCCCGCTGCCCGTGCGTGGCAGGAAAGCCCGAGCCGTGCTCCCCCGCCGCCCGTGCGTGGCAGGAAAGCCCGAGCCGGGCTCCCCCCGCTGCCACCGGAGCCGCCGCCACCCCCGCCGCTATCGGCGTAAGTCGGAGCCTCCTCCGCTTCCCCCTCTCGCCGCGGGGAAACCGAAGCCGCCGCCACCGGGAGCCGCCGCCGCGCGAGTTTTAAAAACTGCAGAGCCACGCTGCCTGCGGCTACACGGAGCTGCGCAGCTTTTTAAAACATTAACTTAAGGGGTATTTTACTGTTCACTTGTCCCATATTTAAAGTTTTCTTACCGTATTCCAAGTCAGTGTCCACAAGTTGTTCCAAGAAGTCAGTTACCCGCGTGCTAAAATATTTATTTCAGTCCTACCCCGAACTGAGTTTTTACCAAGTGTTTAAACCGGTCTTCTCTCGACCGAACCTTGCCAACCTAAATGACCACACAGCGAACCGATCTGTGGGTTTTTCGGCTGGGAAATGAGTGAGCTCTCTTTTACCTGTTTTCCTGGGCTCCCCGAGCCCAGAGCCGGTGAGGTTTACCAATTTCTCGAGTCCACGAGAACGTACCTTCCCTCCCCCGACCCGTCCGTGAGTGGATCCCTGTAAACTCCCAGAGTTTCAGGTCGTATGCGTGTTGTGAGTTAAACCCGAATCCTTTCGCTTCCCCCGTAGCCGACCACCGCCCTCTCGGGCTAGTGGAACTGCGGTTTATTGGGGTCCGCACTCGCGCCGTGGCTATGCCACGTCTCACTCAAACACACACCCACCCACGCGCCACCCAACCACGCAGTACTCACGGCTCCTTTTCCCGCGTGGATTCTTCGTGCACGTTGATTTTACAAGTGAAAAATTGCTGCAGCCTCGGAGATTTAGCTCCGAATTCCGAGAGCTCTGGGCCCGTTTATATCCTTTCCTTAATGTGGCTTTTTGCTGCTTTTGGAATCTGGTTGGTTCCGTGGGGTTCTGCAGTCCTATCCGGCTGCTAAAATCAGCAGGGCGCCGCCCGGATCTAGGAGAGGGAACTCCCAGGATACCCCCAAACCAGATCACGTAAGGGGTCACCAAGTTTGTTATAAATGAAAATTTGTCCAGCCAAATTAATATGAAAAATAAAATATTTATTTTACAATCAAATTTTATCTAGCCAGCCACAAGGAAAGAACAGAGCCGAGCCCGGGGTCGGCCCTGGGTGTGCAACAAAGAGGTCAGCCTCAGCAGAGGTTTTCCTCTCTGCCCACACACCTCCATCCTGGCACAAGCAAGTTTTATAGGGATAATTTCGCCTGAGGCCAAGATTTTTGTAATTAGTCCTTTCTTCTATTCAGAGTTCATGTGTTAATAATTCAGTGTCTGGAGTTTGTTGAATCCACATGGATCTGTCTGGGGATTCCAGAGATATCCATCTCGGGTCGTTCACGCGATGATCAGCGCCATGGCCCATCGTCTGGCGTCTGGCTAGCTGTATCTTCTCACTTGTAAATGAGCTTCTTAACATACACCTGGCTTCGGAGGGGAGGAGGGGGGGGGGGGGGAGGCTAGTACAAACAAGTATTTAACATTATATATTTCATATAAGGAAAGGCGCAAATTATGTCTATTACCCATAACAGAATCCAACTCCAAAGTTTCTTGGACTTTTAATGGGTCCCACTGAGGGACACGACTGAGAAAGTGTCCCCAGGCCCCAGGCAGAGCAGAGAACTGGAGGCACTGATGACAGGTGGGGACAAAGAGAAGCCAAGTCTTGGTGCCCTGGGGCACAGCAGGGTCTGTGCCACCAAGGACTGTGAGGAGACACCTTGTCCCGAGGCCCTGGGGCCTCCTGGCACAGCCCCAGCCAGGCTGGGCACTGTCACCCCCTGGTCCTGCCCTCAGCATCCCCCCCTAGCCCACATCCCAGTGGCCTCAAGGATCTGCTGGAAGGAGTCCCTGGGGAGCCTTGGTCAGGAATGGCCCTGGGGGCTCCTTCATGCTCCCAGGGACTGCAGGTTTTTCAAAGGACTTTGGGCTTTGCTTTTGCCTTGGCGTCTCTAAGAGCTTTGTTCAATCATGGCCTCCAATTATCTGCTGTAATTAGTCCCTGGAGAGGCTTTGTCGATAACAACACTCAGTGGGGCTCATTAATGCTTCAAGGTACTTCAGTTCTTTTAAGGTACTTGGTGTTTCCCTTTTGATCCAGACTCTGTGAGAGGTTTGTGCAATCATGGCCCCAATTATCTGCTTTAACGAGTCCCTTGAGAGCTTTGTGCTGACACTCAGTGGAGCTCATTAATACTTTCAGATACTCAACTTTTTTCACGTACTTTGGATTTTCCTTTGCACACTGAGAGTTTTTTGTGCCATTTTGAATCTCTGAGAGGATTTTGTGCCATCCTGGTCTCCAGTTTTCTGCTCCAAAGAGTCCATAAGGAACCTTTGTTGGGGATGGAGCTCAGTGGGACCCATTAATGCATTGAGACATTTTGGGTTTTTGCTCTTGATTTTAACTCCTGGAAAGTTTTGTGCAATCTCCTCTCAGGCCCTGAGGTTCCAGGGCTCAGCTCCAAATGCACCACGGGGCTCATTAGGATCAAGCAAGTCCTAACAAACCATGGCTCTGCCTTGATTTCCCTCTGCTCTCGTGCAGTTCATCAGGAAGTTTCTGTAGTGGTTTTGGTTCATCAATTTTGAGATTTCTTGGGCAATGCATCAATTAGTGTGGTGGGTTTAGTGATGTCTAATTACCAGTGCACACAAAATAATATAGTTACTCATTTCCTGCTGTGAGGTAGGATAAGGAGAAAGGGAAAGTGGGATCAAAACTTTAAAAGAGCATAAAGAAAAGTTTATTAGCAGTAACTAAAAGAAAGAGTAATAAGAATCAGCACAAAACTTTCAGAACACTCTTCTTCTCGCCACAAATTTTTCTTCCTTATTGACAACGTAAGGAGACAAAACCTAAAATTTTCAGCCAGTCTACCACCTCTAGAATAGTCCTTCTTCACTTCACTTAGGGAGAGGAGTCTCTTTTTCTTGCTATGGAGGCTTCTCCATAAGGAAACAGTTCTCTTGTGGTTCTCAAGTTCCATGAATAGCAGCCACTCGGAAAAAGTGAAATAGTGAAATCCCTGCCATTTTTTCACAGCTTTTCCCACAGCTGTGTGTCATGGGCCATGTCAGCTTATGGGGTATTAGTTTAAAGATGAGCTGTTCAAGACCAGAGGTTCTCTTCAACTGCTTCTGAAATCATCTCTGGGAACAGAGGTCTTCTTCTCTCCCTGAGGGCACAGGGTCTCATCACTCTGCTCTCTTTCTCTGTTCAAACTTCTCATGGGATCTCAGCTACTTCAACATTTGCTTACTTTAGCGTGGAGGCCTTTGCTGAAACAAGTCATCTCCCCATACTTTTCAATGCCTTATAGGGAAAAAGAGAGTCTGATGTATCAATGAAATCCTTCTCCACAGCTTTAGCAGAGGATTTCAGCCCCAAGATCAAGGCATCTCCTCATCCCTCCCATCTGGGACTCAACTTCCTCTTCACTGACCTCGGTGTCTTCATGTTGCTCCTCTGTGTGCCTGCCCTGTGTCCTTTTCTCTCACTGGAGGGAGGATGGCAGCACTGGCAGAGTCAATATCTGCCCGGGGCTGCAGATGGTTCCGTGAGCCCGGCCGGGCTCAGTGGCCAATTCTAATTTTGGCCATGGTTCCTGGACATGAAGACCAGTTCTTTTCCATAGGAATGAAGGAACAGAGCCCCACTGTTTTAGGGGCAAATGAGAGGTCACCACCAGAGGACAAGGCCAGCCAGAGCTGCCACATTCTGTTCTTAGAGATACCCTTGAATATAGGAAATTTTTTAGGCAGAGTGTCAGTTTTGGCAAGGGGCATCAGAAAAGACAGACGGTTCTTTTCCATACAAAGGAGAGCACGGAGCCCCATTGCTCCAGGAGCTGATGAGAGGCAGCCCTTGGCATCCCAAGATCAGCCAGACCTGTCAGGTGGCCCCTGGCAGGCCAAGCCAGCCAGACCTATTCCGTGTTCCCTCGATTCCATGGGGCCCCACAGTGTCCCAATGGTCCCTTGCTTCCAGGAGGCCCTGAGGTGTCACAATGCCCCCTTGGTGACACCAGGCCCTGAAGGGTCGGAATGGTCTCCATGGTTCCATCAGGCCCCACAGAGTCATAATGGTCTCTGGGTCCATGAAGCCCCGTGGTGTCACCATGGCCCCTTGGTTCCATGGGCTCCAGTGGTGCCACAATGATCCCCTTGGTTCCATGAGGTGCCCACAGTGTCACAGTGATCTCCATGGGAAGGAAAGAACCAAGCCCCAGTGTGGCAGGGGCAGCCACCAGAGGCCAAGGGCAGCCAGGCTTGATGGTACTGGCAGATTTTGCCTGGGAGCAATCCTTCAATGTACTGAGTTTTAGAGTTGGAATCCCAATTTCAGACAAGGACATCCGGAGGAGCAGGACGGTTCTTTTCCAAAGGAAGGAAAGGACGGAACACCAGTGTTTGAGGGGCAGATAAATGGCGGCCACCAGAGGCCTAAGCCAGCCAGACGTCTCTGTCCTGGCATCATTTTTCTGGGAGCTATTCTTGTATATAGGGAATTTGGGAGGCAGATCCCAAATTTTGGCCATGGGTGCCTGGTTGAGATGGATGCTTTTTAAGCAAGAAAAGCACATGGACCCAGTGTCTGAAAGGCAGATGAGAGGTGGCCCCTGGGTGGCCAAGGCAGCCAGACCTGTTTCTGTTGGCAAGTTTCATCAGGGAACAATCTTTGCATATAAGAAAATTTGGGGAAGGAATCCCAGTTTTGGCCATAGGCCCCTGGAGGAGAAGGACAGTTCTCTCCTATAGGATGAGGAAGCAAAGAGTCAATTGTGACCCTGGGGTCCCACGTAACCAAGGGGCCATGGTGGCACAGCAGGGCCACGTGGATCCAGTGGTCCATTGTGACACTGTGGATCCAAGGAGACCATGGAGACACCCCCAGAACCTCATGGAACCAAGGAGTCCATGGTGACCCAGCGGGGCTGCATGGAGCCAATGGTCCATGGTGACACTGCCCATCCAAGGAGGCCATTTGGACACTGCAGAAGCTCATGGAGCGAGGTGGCCATTGTGACACTGAAGAACTTCATGACACCAAATATCCATGGGGACACAGCAGGGCATCATGGAACCCAGGAACCGCTGTTGGCAGTGCGGAAACTCCTGGAACCAGGGGCTGTTGTGGCACTGCAGCACCAACACAGCTGCTGCACCTTGTCCCCTGCCCTGCACAGCTCCTTGGGAGGCACGGCAGGAGCAGCACCCTGGGAGCCTCAGGATTGCCCCTCTGGGATCCATGGCACACACTCCCAGGGGCTGGAATTCCAGTTCCCAGCCAGGAAAAGATGTCCCTGCCCTTGAAGGCAAAGCTCTTATGGAAGAGCCAAAAGCCAAGTGCAGCAGGATCCTACAGTGACATTTCACTGCCAGCCTTCATAACTTCACCCATGGTTGTCGTAGCTCATGGATTGGGAATTAAATCAGGGCAGGGTCTTTGGTGGGAGCTGCCCTGGGTCAAGGGAGACACAGAGAGAGAAACAGAGCAGGCAAAGGAAGGCAGGAGAGAAAGGAGGTGTTTTGGTTTGGAATGACAGGTGTCTGCTAAGGGAGGCAGGAGCCTCTCCTGAAATGGAAAAATGTAGACTCTTTCTTTCTGAATTGTTATAAATTTGAAATTAAGGGGGGCTCTCAGGTAAAAATTTGGAGCAGGAATAACAGCTTTTTATTAGGGAAGAAAATAAAAAGATAAAATAAACAATGCAGTAAACCAAAACAACACTGACAGAGCCAGAATACAACCTGACACTCTGTTGGACAGGGTGTTGGCTGCAGTCCAATTGGAATGGTGGCTGCAGTCCTCCTGCAGTGTCAGGTGTGGTTCTGTTGGAGAAGTGATCCTGTAGAAAAGGGTGTCTTCTTCTGAAGAGGAAGAGGCAGCTGTTCCTCTGAGAAATCCAGCCCAGAAAAAGCTGTGTTGGTGGACCAGAATCTCAAGACTAGATGCAGGTAGGAATGCTTGGCTCCTCCCTCTGGGCAGAACATCTCACAATGGGATGTTATAGTTCTTATCAGTCATGCAGTGACATTCAATGGTTCATTATCAGCAGATGTCTCCCCTGAGGGATTGTGGAAGAGATAAGGAAAAACTGCCCACTTAACACAGGACAACTGCCATACAGATGGCAAATAGAACACATCTTGCTTTTCAGTCTGGGACAGGAGGTCACAAACAAAATCAGCTGAGAAGGCGGCACTCTGAAAAGCAAACCAAAATTGACAGAAAATGAATGGAACAGAAATCAATAATTCTGGAAGTTTTATTTACTATCAAAATAAATCACAACCACTCAGACCCACACAATCTTAATCCCACAACCTCAAATTTAGATCTCACTTCTCCCGATCTCCTTCCAACCCCATCTCACCCTAGAGGCTGTGGAATTGAGTAATTTTGGCATGGGACTGAGGTGGGAACCAGCCATTTTGAGGTGGGATTGAGCAATTTTGGGGTAAGATTGTGGGGTTTCCAGTGGGATTGAATAATTTTGAGGTGACAGAGCAATCCACCTTGGCTTTTGGAGTGCAAAGATATGGAGAATACTACCAGATATCCCCCAAGAACCCACAAATCCTCCAGAATACGTTCCCAAACCATAAATCCTACCTCAGATACCTCTTAAATGGTGGGACTTTTGACATCTCTGATCAATACTCTTTTTAGTCATTTTTCAGGTGTTTTCAAGTGATAAAGACAAATCAGAAGAAAATTAGGGTCAAACCAAAACCAGAGAGCCCTTGAGCATCCCCTGGGCACAAGACAAAACAAACTCAGCAGAAATTAAACTTAACCCTACATAAAATGCCTTGAGGAAGATTTGCTCTTCCCACAAGTCACTTGTGATGGAAACACAAACAAATCCCAAACATTAATAAACCAGCAGCAGAAGAAATTCTGTGGCAATTCCAAATTCCATCACTTCCAGCACAGCTCTACCTCAGATGCTGGCAGGTTCCAAAAAAGAAATATGGAAATTTGGCCCAATACAGATTATTAAAAGGAAGGGAAAGCTCTGTGGAGCTGTCACAAAGGTGACGGGAACGAAAAAATAATTATTCTCATATTTGGAAAAGCCCCCAAGCCTGCGAATTCACTAATTATTCGGGAGTTTAGATACTTGAGCTGGGCTTCTTGTAGGACTTTAGTAGCCTTGTGTTCCTCACCTCGGGGTGACTGATCCTGGTCAGTTTCACTGGTATGATTTGCTCCCTTTCCTCCAGTGACTTTAACGAACTTTTCAAGGAAGGACAGGAATATATTTTCTTTACACTGGCCACCCACAACAGCCATTTTCCTCATAAGTTCTCCCAAAAGTTGCTCAGAGGAAGCTGCATCCAAGTTTCTAAGAGTTCCTCCAGAAAGAGGCAGAACCTCCTCAGAGGAGGGAACCAGGCTATTGTCAAAAAGGCACTTGGGGTCAGACAACAGAGCTCTGAACTCACTGTGCCAAAATAATGTCGCAATCTGGTTAATAAAATTGTTACAGAGATGCCTCTGCCCCAATTAAGGTGCAAAGGTCACCAAATTTAAGTGGATTTTATTGAACAGTAAAAGTGAGGTAGAGAGAGAGATGGAAAGAAAGAGAAAAGGGGGGAGAGCAAGGGAGTGACAGGGACAGAGATCTCCCCTGGGACAGGGCAAGTGTGACATTGTCCCCTGTGTGCGTGGCCTTCCCAGGGTGGGGGTTTTACACCTGAGCCAGTTTGGGTAAGGGAGGTGGTGTTCACCCCCCACCCCAAGCAGGGATTGCCTCACTGTTTCAGGTTACAGTGTCAGATGTAACCAAAAGTGTTTTCAGTCACCATCTCCATAAACTGTTATCAACAGGTGGGGCAGTGTTCTTTATCTCTTCCATGGCTCAGCCCTGATAACGCCCTCCAGGGGCCATCTTCTGTTAATGGGCCATTGAGTGTCACTGCAGGGCTGATAAAATTACATCATCCCATTGTGGGATGCTCCGCCCAGGGGGAGGAACCAAGCATTCCTGTCTGGATATAATCTCACCCTTGCAACACCACAACCACCTTGCCTACTGGATTCCCAGAGGACAAGAGCTCCATAAGCACCACTGGACCTTCAGAGGAAGACCAGACCCTTCTACAGGATCACCGCTTTGACAGAATCACGTTCATCACTCCAGCCGGACTGCAGCCACCATTTCATCAGACTGCTACCACCACCCTGACCAACGGGGTGTCAGGTTATATCCTGACTCTGTCAGATTAAGCCAGTGTTTCTGTATCATTGCCTTGATCTTAATTTTCTTACTCAATTGTGATTCTGGCTTAGACTCTCTCCCTGGTTTGCCTTCCACCCAGGACAATACTGAATGTGCTCATCCCTTGTTTTCCTCCCAAAACAGAATTTCCCATCCCCAGCCCTTTGCCAGATGGAGGAGAAGGCTGTGAGGAAGAGGAAGGCGCCCTGGGACACCGAGGCAGGTGAGGAGGAAGTCAGTGCCCCTTTCCCCCTCTCTCCTGCTCCATCTCCTGGCCCAGCCTGGCCCCCGGCTGCAGGACAGCCCCGCTGCCGGTGCCCTCCTGCCGGGGATGCACTGGGGGGATCTCCTTACCCTTCCTTGTGGCACGGAGGCAAATCCCATCCTCTCCTTGTCCTTCCTACCCCAGAGCAGGAGCTGATGATGGAGACCAGGAAGGACAAATCCCTGCAGCAGAACCTCATGGAAGAGGCTGTTTTGAGCAACTCCACAGCGCAAGAATCCAACAGGGAGGAAAAGCCCCGGAGATCCCACAGGAGGAGGGGCTGGAAACCCAGCCCAGGGTGCTCTGAGGAGGAAAGGCCCACTCTGGGTCAGGAAGGTGGGCAGAGCTTCAGCCAGAGCTCGGAGCTGGTGGTCCCTGAGAAGCTTCACGATGGGGAGAAGCCCCACAAGTGCTTGGAGTGTGGGAAGAGCTTCAGGCAGAGCAACAGTCTGAAACGACATCAGATGATCCACACTGGGGAATGGCCCTACGAGTGTGGGGAGTGTGGGAAGGGCTTCAGCTGCAGCTCCCACCTCATCATCCACCAACGCATCCACACTGGGGAGAGGCCCTACGAGTGTCCTGAGTGTCAGAAGAGGTTTCAGACCAGCTCCAATCTCCTTGTACATGAGCGGATTCACACGGATGAGAGGCCCTTCCGCTGCCCCGACTGCGGGAAGGGCTTCAAGCGCAACTCCACCCTTGTCAGGCACCGGCGCATCCACACTGGGGAGAGGCCCTATGAGTGTTCCCAGTGTGGGAAGAGCTTCACCCGGAGCTCTCACTTGATCCAACACCAACGGAGCCACCGGTGACGGAAGCCCTGTGAGTGCCCCAACTGCAGGAGGAGCTTCGTGCACCGCTCCAGCTTAACCCCCCCATTGAAGAACCCACATTGGGAAGAGCCCTGGTGATCCCTGTTACCTGTGATCCATGCTGGGAAGATACCTGTAACTTCTCCTGCCCCTGCCAATGACCTTATGTGGGATTGAAGAACATGAGGGTCTGGCCATGGCCCTGTCACTACATTCACTCCCACCTCAGGTCATTGCCAGGGGCAGGAAAGGGACTCTCTCTCTCTCTCTCTCTCTGAGAAGGGTGTCCTTTCCAGGCAGGAGGAGACATGTGGCCAGGAAGGTAGAATTGATGGTGATGTAATTTCCCCTGTAAATAGTTTTTCTTATCCCTTCTGTTGTCAATATTTTTTCTGTTCCAGTTTGTTCCTTATCTCGTTGCTGTTCCCAGTAAATTGTTCTTATCCCAGCCTGGGATCTTTCCATTTTTTCCTTCAGTGGAAGGTGGGAGGGCAACGAGCACCAGCGGGGTTTTAGGAGGAGCAGGAAACTGGGAAATCCCATTCCTGAATCCCGGCCTGTGGAAACCGAGCATCCCAGCTGGTGCCAGCCCTGGTGGCCATGGCAGCAGCCCTGGGAGCGGGTCCCTGGCTGGGGCTGAGGGAACCTCTTCACTCTGGTGCCCAGGGACAGGAGTGCAGGGAGCGGCTGCAGCTGAGTCGGGGCAGGCTGAGGTTGGATCTCAGGGAAAGGTTTTTGCCCAGAGGCTGCTGGGGCACTGCCCAGGCTCCCCAGGGAAGGGTCACAGCTCCAGAGCTCTCTGAGCTCCAGCAGCGTTTGGACAGCGCTGCCAGGCCCAGGCTGGCAGTGTTGGGGTGTCCTGTGCAGGGCCAGCAGCTGGACTCGAGGATCCTGATGGGTCCCTCCCAGCTCAGCCACTTCTGTGGTTCTGGGATCCCATGACCCTGGGATGGGAGTGCCAATGGTTGCCATGGAAACGGGCTCTGGCTGCAGGCCTGAGCTGGTGTCCATGGCAACCACCCCTGGCATGGGGTCTCCATGGAGCTGCCCAGGGACTGACCATAGCAACAGGGGCTGGGGAAGGTTGCCATGGAAACTGACCATAGCAACAGGGGTTGGTGATGGTTGCCATGGGAACTGACCATAGCAACAGGGGCTGGTGCTGGTTGCCATGGAAACTGACCATAGCAACAGGGGCTGGTGATGGTTGCCATGGAAACTGACTATAGCAATGGGTCCTGATGAGGTTTGCTGTGGTAATCCACGGCATCCCTCTGGCTGCCCTGGCAGGTCTGGGACCCTGGCAAGGGGGTCAGGAACCCCCCTGTACAGAGCCCTCAGAGACACTGCCTGTGATCTCTGTCCATGGAAAAGAGTTTTCAGTCTTACAGGATGAATTACACCCTCTGAGTGTTTGATATGAGTAATAATTAGTGTGACACGGGTGCAAAAGTAGAATTTTAGGATTCTAGATAAGGGGTTCAAAGGAGGCAAGATGGAGGAAATCGTGTGTGTCCTGTCCCTTTTCATCTTCTTCATGCCTTCCATGTTTCACTGCAGTGTTGGCATTTTTCTATTGGTTTAGACTGGGGACACATTGTTCAACAGAGGTGGTAGGTATTGGCACATTATTGTAAATATAGCACAGGTAGTTTCTGGTATATAATGTTTGTAACTTCTCACTGAGGGGCAGAGCCCTGCACGCTGCCCCGCAAGAAAGGCCTACTGCAGGTCAGACAGAACATGTTATAGATAAGCAAGAATAAACAACCTTGAAAACCAGCACAGATGAATTATGACTTCTTCTTTGGCAGCGGCGCTCAAAGACAGCAAATTTCTGCAATTTTGGGATCATTTAAATACCACAGATTCTGACATAAATGGCATCCCTGGGTGGGCTCGAACCACCAACCTTTCAGTTAAGAGCCGACAGTTTGCCTATTAAGGTTCAGATTTTTTGACAGGCCCTCAGAGGGGTTTCATGGGGACTTTCTAAGTGTCCTCAGGCTGCCAAAGAGCTGGGATGTCACAGGCACTCACAGGGGCTCCTGTCATGGGCAGACTGGGAGCTTTGTTATACACACTAGGAAAGAGCTGACATTCCTATTCCCATATCTTTGCCTGCCTGAGAGCCCCTTGATTTCATGATTCTAATAATTTGGAGGGAGGGGGTTTACATTCTCCATTCCACAGGAGGCTTTTTGCTGCCTTCCCTAGCAGACACCTGTCTTGTAAACCAAGACCAGTTTTGGCACCTGATGTGCAGCCTGAGGGCATTGAGAGAAACAGGGTGAAATAAGAATAACAATTCTTGAGTAACGTGATTTTTTTTTTTTTGTTGCACTGGATATAGAAACCTTGTTCGGTGTCACCATGTGGTCTAGCTTACCCTGGTTTGGGTGGCACATGGTTGTGGCTACATTTTTCCCATCCTATAACTATGGCAAATTTGGCTGATAATCAATTTGTTTGATGGGTTAATATGGTGAGGGATTTATGGAATTTTAATTTCCTCTGGACGGTGGGCAGACAGATTCGAGGCTACCACACACTAACTGTATGTGTTTGGAATTACTTTAATAATGGTACCTACTGTGAGGAAATGACACCAGGGGAAGTTTTCCCCCAACTCTTCAGCCAGCTCTTTGGGTCTACAGTGGTTGGTGTTCCTGCTATGCCTGTTAAGCCTATTCTGTTCAGCATTCAGAGGTAAGGGAAGATTGACTTGGATAACTATCGTAGCAGGGCGTCCCCAGCCTGTAATAATTAGCACTGGGAGAGCAGGGAGGACAAATCCCCGCTGCAGAACCTGGTGGAAGAGGCCATTTTGAGCAGCTCCATGGTGCAGGAACCCGACGGGGCGGAAAAGCTCCGGAGATCCCGCACGAGGAGGGGCTGCAAACGCAGATTGTGGGGATTTGAGGGGGAAAGACCCACCCTGGGCCGGGGAGGCGGCCGAAGATGGAGCCAGAGCTCGGAGCTGGGGGTCCCTGAGCAGCTCCATGATGGGGAGAAGCCCCACAAGTGCTCGGAGTGTGGGAAGAGCTTCAGGAGGAGGTCCGAGCTGATCGTGCACCAGAGGACCCACACTGGGGAGAGGCCCTACGAGTGTGGGGAGTGTGGGAAGGGCTTCAGCCGGAGCTCCAGCCTGATCATGCACCAGAGGATCCACACTGGGGAGAGGCCCTACGAGTGTTCTGAGTGTGGGAAGAGGTTTCAGACCAGCTCCTGTCTCCTCCGGCACTATCGGGTTCACACCGAGGAGAGGCCCTTCTGCTGCCCCGACTGTGGGAAGGGATTCAGGGACAACTCAAATCTCATCCAGCATCGCCGCATCCACACTAGGGAGAGGCCCTACGAGTGTCCCCGGTGTGGGAAGAGATTCTCATATAGCTCTAACTTGACCAAACACCAACGGAGGCACCGGTAAGGGAAGCCCTGCGAGTGCCCCGAGTGCGAGAAGAGCTAAACTCCATCCCCAACTGGAGGACCGACATTGGGCACAGCCCTGGTGACCCACATTCCCTGTGATCCATGTTGGGAACACACCTGGCTGCTTCTCCTTTAGTGCTGACCTTTATTTTTTTCTCTTCTCAAACTCTCTCTGCTCCAAGACCCAACAGGGATCGATCTTTCACCTCAAATCCACTCACATCCCACTGAAAACAAATGAATTTTAACCCACAGAGCCTCAATCCCACCTCAAATTGTTTGTTCCCACCTCAAAAAAAACCAATCCCACACCAAACTCACTTGAATCCACAGCTGCCAGGGTGAGATGGGTTTGGGAGGAGATTGGGAGAAGTGGGATCCCAATTTGGAACGGTGGGATGGGGATTGTGTGGGGCTGGGTGGCTGGGATGTATTTGATAGCAAATAGAACTTTCAGACTTAGTGATTTCTTTGCCGTTCATCTCCAGTCCGTGGCAGTTCTGTTTTTCAGGGCACCACCTTCTCAGCTGATTGTGTTTGTGTCCTCCTTTCCCTCCCACCTCTCTTTGTCTGCTCTGTTTCTCTCTCCGTGTCTCCCTTGACCCAGGGACCGCCAAAGACCCTCCCCCAACTTAATTTCCTCAGGGACCACCAAAGATCCTTCCCTGATTTAATTGAATCCTCCTCTAATTTAATTGCCCCCTCTGCCCCCAATGACCCACCCCTGATTTTTTAATTATTTTATTTCCCAATTATTATTTTATTTCTTAGTTCAGGAGCTGAAGTTATGGAGGCCAGCAGTGAAATGTCTCTGTAGGATTTTGCTCCACTTGGCTTTCAGCCACTTCGCAAGAGCTTTGCCTTTGAGGGCAAAGGGAATGTCTTTTCCTGGCTGGGAGCTGAAATTCCAGACCTCTGGAATGTGTGCAGGGCCATATAGACTGGGATCAACCAGAGATTGGGATCAAATATGCACTGAGATCCTGTGGTCTAGGATCAACTAAGGACTGGGATCAATTAGGGACTTAGGGTCTGGGGCCCTACAGACTGGAATGAACTGAACTGGGATCAAATACGGACAAGGATCAAATATGGACTGGGATCCTATGGACTGGTATCAACAAGGGACTCGGATAAAATAGGGACTGGGATCCTACAGACTGGGATCAAATTGGGACTGAGATCATATGGACTTGGATCAACTAGAGACCTGGATCAGATACAGACTGTATTCAAATAGAGACTGGGATCAGATGTGGATTGGGATCCTATGGACTGGGATCAAATATAGACTGGGATAAAATTGGGACTGGGATCAGATATGGACTTGGATCATATGGACTGGGATCAAATATAGACTGGGATAAAATTGGGACTGGGGTCAGATGTGGATCAAATGGACTGGGGCTGGGGCTGGAACTGGGGCTGGGTCTGGCGCTGGGGCTGGGAAAAATCCAAACCCAACCCCATTCCCAATCCAGAATCGTTCCCAAAAATTATAGAAACATTCCCAAAAATCCAGAAATTCCTTCACAAAAAAAAAAAAATAAAAAAAATCCAGGAATTCCTCCCCGAAAAAACTAGAAACTCCCCCTGAAAAGATTCAGAAAATCCCCCCTAAAAAATCCAGAAATTTGCCTCCAAAACCACAGAAATTTCCCACCAAAAATCCAGATATTTCCTTCCTAAGAAGTCCAGTATTGCCTCCCCCTCAAATCCTGGTATTTTCCCCCATAAATCCAGAAATTTCCCCTAAAACCCCAGACATTCCCCCCAAAATCCCGATATTGTCCCAAAAAAATCCACCCCAAGCCCCCCTCACCCTCTCACCCACCAAGCCCCAACATCCCGCGGTGCCCCAAAGCCCGGCCGGAATGCCCGGAATGCCGGGATTGCCCCAGATCTCCCTGGCTGAGGGGCACGGGGAGCATCAGCTCCTGGGGCTGCTCAGGGAGCTGGGGCAGGAACAGGATGTGCTTCGGGGCTTTCCCACAGCTGGGGGAAACGGGAGACAAACCCCAAAAGCTGCCCCAAAACTGCCCCAACCAGGCCCAAAATCTGCCCAAAGTCACTCTGGATACACACCAAAAAATCTGCCCCAAATCCCACCAAAATCTGAGAAAAACCACAAAAATCCCCCAAAATCCCCAAAAAACCCAACAAAAATCTCCCCAAAATCCCACAAAAGTCTCCCTAAAAAATCCCCCAGAAACCCCACCAAAATCCAATAAAAATCTCCTCAAAATCCTTACCAAAAATCTCACCAAAACCCCTCAACATCCCACCAAAAAATCACAACAATACTCCACAAAAATCTCCTCAAATCCCCGCAAAAATTCCACAAAGAATCATCAAAAATCCCACAAAATCCACCTAAAATTCCAGGTAAATCCCTACAAAAATTCCACAGAAATCGCCCCAAATTCCACCATAGAATCCTCCCACCAAAAATCCCCACAAAAATTGCCCCAAAGCCCATACCAATCCTTCCAAATCCCAACAAAAATCACGCCCAAAATCCCCCTAAATTCCACAGAAAACTCCCTCAGAAAGTCCCACTAAATCCCCATGAAAATCCCACAGAATCCACACAGAAAAATCTGCATAAAAGTCCCCCCAAAAATCCCCAAAGCACACAAAATCCACACATAACATCATTCCAAATCACCCAAAATATCCCACAATAATTTTCCCAGAATCCACCTCAAACCCACTCAAAAAACTCCGCACCAAAATCCCAGCAAACCCCTTTCAATTCCCCCCAAAACATGCCCCAAGTGTTGCTGCATCTTTGAGAGAAAGAGGACATGAGTTACGAGATTTGAGCTACTCCAGTCTAGGCCTCAGATTTAGGCCTGGTGAGGCCTTCAAGCCTCTGACGCAGTTAGAAATTCAGAGCTTGTGGCGCAGATAGAAATAGTCTTAAGGTGTGATGGGGACCACTGGGTTGTCTGGGTGTGAATTAGTATAGGTTTTATAGCGTAAGGTGTAGGCCGTTTTAAGGAAAAGGTAAACAATGTTAGCCTACCAATCAGAGTGTCTTTGTTTTTGTAAACTATGTAGAAGCTTATATAAACTACCACCTTATCTTGAATAAACGGAGAACGCTTGATTAACCACATTGGTTCAGACCTGCGTTTGTCTTGTCCAGCTTTCCGTTTTTCTGAGATTCCCTGGCTTCTAGTGGCGCCCGAACAGGGACTCAGGAGGCTCCGAAAAGGCTCCCAAATTACTTTTAGAGTAACGGGGAGCCGAGTTTGAGTCGCGCGACGAAAATTCAGGTCCAAATCGCCTCATGGCGACAGGGCCGGGATCCCAAATTCACTTTTTGTGAACAGGGATCAGGTGGAACGGAGCAGAAGTCTCCAAACTCCGAATTGTGCCGTTTCCCAACGGGAGGAAAAAGACTCTTCGCATTGCTGTTTGTTTGCGAGAGTCCGTTGGAGCAGTGGGAAGACCTCGGCGTTCACAAAGGACCCGAACGGCGGGTGTGGACGTGGCCGAGGCCGGGGAGCTGGAGCGGGGTTGCCGCCTTGCCGAAGAAAAGCGAGAGCGAAGCAAACCGCGGAAGTTGGAGGTAAGCCGCGGAGAGAGAGAGAGGGTGAGAGTTCACCATGGATGGGGATCTGCAGGCTTCAGTGCGGCTTCTCTTTCATATTCTCTCAAAGAGAGATGAAAAAGTTAAAGAAGCCGATTTGGAACAGTTGGTTCTGTGGGCAAGAAACAAAGGCAAACTGCAAAAGCCTTCGCTGGTTTTTAGTAAAGTCGAATTGCAAGAGCTGGGGCAGCTGCTTTGGGACGCAGTGATAGAGGGCAGAGAAGGGAGAGAAGCAGTGCTGGCCCCTCGCCCCCCCGCAGCAGCGGCGGCGGCGGCGAGCAACCCAGCGCGGCATGTCAATTGTAGCAGGAACAAGCGATCACAAAACAAGATACAAAGGCAAGAAAAAGTTACAGAAAGCCCTTCCTCGTCCCTTGCGGAACGGGTTGGCAGAACTAAGGCAACGGGCTGTGGCGGAGAGCAGCAGGGTGCGGCGGTGAGCACCGGCCAGCCGCCCGGGCAGACCGCAGAAGCAGTGGCCGCGGGGCCAGGCAGAGCGGGGCCGGCCGGCACCGAGCCTGAGGCGGCCCCGGGGTGGAGCGGACTTCAGCCGAGAGACAGAAGGCTCCTTGTTGCTGAGCAACAGCGCAAGGCGGGAGATGGGCGTTCCCGGGGGCTCGGCCGCGCTGGAGTCGGAGCAGGCGGGGCGCGGCCGCATCAGGGGCGTCTCCTCTCCCATCCCCACAGTGACGCAGCAAGAACGGGAGCGAGACGGCGCCGCCCCCTCATCTCCCCGCAGCACCCAGCAATGGCGGCGGAGACGCTGCACAGCCTGGTTGCCACGGTAACGACAACCTCGAGAGCAGCAGCGCCACCGATGGCGAGATGGCAACACTACAGCAAAAATTTCAACAGAATTTTTTCAATTCCTCGCAGGAGACAGAAGACATGATGAAAAAGTATAGCAGTACCGAGTGTTTTCCAAGATACCAAGAGGGATAGACATTATGCAAATCAATGTTATTTCAAATACGATATAGATGAAAATCACTGTAAAAGATAGAAATGTTAATAATGATTTAATTGCCAAAAATGTCTCTGAAAACAAAGATTTGAGAAAAGTCAGTCAGATGGAATGTTGGCATTGAGTTCACAATTTCTGGTTTTGAGTTTTTATAGATAATAAGATAAATGATGATTGTCAAGTTTTGTAGGTAATGATAAGTAGTGATTGTTACTAATGTTATATGAATGCTTTGAAAAGATTGTCTTAAACTATTTTAAACATTTCTTGTTGATAAGTTGATCATATAATGTAAGTTGTCTGATTTTTGTGATAAGAATTATTATTGAGATGTTAAGGTATTGAGGTGTTGTTTTAATATTTACAGTCAGTTTTCATATGTTTTATTGTCTTTTTAGGTGATTGATTACAAGATGTGTTTTTTCAGGATCCTGTGTTTTTGACTTTTTAATTACTCATGTGATTTTTTTTTTCTTCAATCTTCTATGCAGCTGCAATTTATCTTCTTTTACAAATTTATAGTCCAAGTTTTGGTTCAAGATTTCAGACTTCAAATTTTTAGATTTCTGAAGAAAAAGTTTGTTGTATTTAGAGAATTTTTGTCTTGAAAGAAATTTTAGACAGGTTCAATTATTTGATGGTTTGATAAATTTTTAATAATAAGGTTTTTTACTTATAACTGTTATTTCTAAGACTTTTGTTTTAAACATATCCTCCAATTAGAGTTTGAGCTCTGGCCAAGCTCTGGCTCTACGTGGATGGTGTCATTGACCCAGGTGTTTCCTGCATCAAAAAGTATTCAAGTCCTTTTGGCTTGACAATTTGACCATACAGGACAGCTGAGCCTCAAAGGGAGTTTTGGAGAGACATGATCCGGACATGTTTTATCCAAATCTCTGT